ATATCCACCTTGAGGCTGGCAAAGTTTTCTAGGGAAAACTCCCTGGGCCTGGCCAACCCAGAAGTCACAGACTTGACCCAAGAGTTCAGGACTCGCCCCCACAAGTTCTCAGCAAACCTGACGGGCGGGTCTAGCTTGTCCAGGCATCCTCAGTTCCTGCTGCTGGTGGCACACAGGCCAAACAAGGAAAGTCAGGGAAGAAGGGTCCAGATAAAAACCAGCCCAGGGCTGAGCTGGCAGGCCTCACCGGGCTAGGGGTTACAAATAAATACCCCTAGGAACAACAGTCAGGACACGGGGCCCTGGGAGCCCCAGATTTGAACCCTACTGAGTACTGGCCTCTAAAAACACTACTTTCTCAGGAACCGCCATGTGGACAATTTCTGAACCACAGACACTGCCCAGTGGTACAACTTCAGAACATACTTAAGCACCTTTGAAAGGTAGTTTATTGAGGTTTGTCAGGGCAAGGAAGGCAGCACACGTGCAGTGTAGCAAAGAGCAAGCACACACCCACAGGATGAATGCATTGTCCACACTACTCTCTCCTCCAACAAGGAGTGGCCTCTGGGGCCTGGTAAGTTCCAAACTGTGTCCATTGCTTCTTCAGAGGGCTTGGGAGACTTGAAAAAGACTAGGACACCAGGTGGCTAGCACTCCCGCCCCTTGAAGCAGAAACCCCGGGACGTCATAGCTTTCTCCACTTTAGGGAAAGAATCCTGTGATCATACTCTCCCATCATCCAGGTGGCTCATTCCAGCTGTGCTGGCTCATGTGTCCTCAGTGTCCCCTACTTGAGCAGGAACTGCTACCTCCAGGAGCTCTGTCTCATGGGGGGAACTGTGAGAAAGACACAGGCTAAACAGGCTGAAACCAGAGCTGGGCCCTTCCCATGGATTGGGGGTAGGGGTAGGGAGACAAACATACCCTCGGGGCTCAGGCTGGACACTAGGATATGGCTCTCGGGGACTCCCTGGAGGGGCTCTTCTCTGGTTGGAGGCTGAAGATCCTGTGGAGAAAGCCTACAATCAGTTGAGAACTAGGGTGGCCCCAGACACCAGTCACCTCTTCCCAGAACTACTCTGACCTGTGTGCTAGGGATGGTTCTGTCCAGCTGTGGAGGTGGTGCCAGAGCAGCCCCTGTCTGCTGGATGAACTGTTGCAGGTTGCACTGACGGAGTTCCCTGTTCAGCTCCTCCAGCTCCTGAGCCTGAGCCTGGGGGCACACAGAACCTTCAGGAACAAGGCCTTGACCTTCTTTCCCACGCCAAGCACGCTTCCTGGTCTGATCCAAACCCCCAAACTGCCCATGCAGCAGGTGGAGTGTTAACAGACTGGCTGGGTAGCAAGGAGCTGACAGGGGCTAGATCTCCTGGGCTCACCTGCAGAGCGTGCTCAGCAGCTTCCAGGGCCCGGCTCACTAGGGCCAAACTGCCTTGCATCTCCACACTATGCCGCTCCTGGACAGCCAAGTCCTGGCGCAATCGCTCAGTAGCAGATGCTGTAGCTGAAGGAGGCCCAGGGGCCTCAGCAGCCAGCCGAAGCTCTGCCTCCAGGGCACAGGCTTGGGCATCGAGGGCCTCCAGCTGGGCAGCATGCTCAGCAGTAGCTGCACTCAATGCTTGCAGGCGCGCCAGTCCCTCACGCTCTCTGGCTTGTTCTCGCCGAAGCTCCTGCTCCCAGAAGGCCTCATGGCCCAACTCCTCAGCGTTCCTCTGTATCCTGAGTTCCAGGCTCTGCAGGTCTGCAAAGCAGTCTGGCGTGGGTCCGACCAGGGCTGTAGGTTCAGGGATCGAGGGGCTGGGGACCAGCTTGGGACATCCTAGGTTGAAGGTCAGTGCTCTGTGTGGCTCACGGCCTGGTGCGGCCCATGGCTTTGGGGGAAGACTGGCCCGAACTGGGCATCGTTCCGGGGGTGGACAGTTGTCTGAGGAGGGCCTTCCAGACAGGCTGGGTCCTGTCCGCCTCAGGACAAACTGGACATCATTGGCAAACTGTCCACAGGTGGCCTGGGCTCCTACTGGACACTCCTGCGGCAGCAGCTGCCGTTCCTTCTCCCTAAGACGCTGCACAAGGACAAAGCGGCCTGTCTGGCCTGTGGGGGAAAGACAGAGTCAGTCTCTATCGCCCCTCTATGCCCCTGGCTTGAGGAAGAGAGCAATACAAGGGTGGAGTCAACCCCACCCTCCTTGGTAGGGAAGATGGGGCTTCTGGGACCCTAGGGAACTCACCTATAGCTTGGGCTAGCGCGATGACTACTTCTTGGCAGGTGGTGTGTTCCGAGACCCCACAGACCACGCGCTGGATGCCATCCACCCACACCTTCAGCTCCATTACCACAAGCTCCAAGACCATCCCTGTCCTATGGGGAGGACACGGGCCATGAGATCAGGGCAGGCCTGCCTCCATCACAGCCTGGTCTTCCTCTTCTCTTGGCTTTGCCACAACAACCGGCTCAGGACTGTGGCCCTTCGGCCCTGCCCTCCTGTGCCCAGCCCCACCCGCAGGCCACACATTCCTGGAGTGGCTGGGGAACTAGTTTGGCCCTCTTGAGCATTTTGAGGCGTCCCCCTCCTGCACCAGTCTCCTCTTGCCCCACCCACCCCACTCCAGGAACAGGGCGAATCATTAACCAGGGCCAGGTTTTCCTGTCCCCCGGTCACCTGGCTCAAAGGCCACTACCCTTTTCAAGCGGGGGCGGCCGTCCCCTGGCACCTAACACCGACCAAACGCAAATACGACGCCGTCCAGAGTCAAGGGAACGCCCCCCCCCCGGGAGGGAACACTCTGGGGCCGGGAGGAGCTGAGATCTACGACCCAGACAGACCTCCATCTCCGAACCGACCCTAGATCTGAGCAGCCCCCCGCCAGTCCCCGGTCCGCCTCCGCAGTCCCTCCCGTCCAGCCAGCGCTCTGGGCTCCGGTGGTCCCGCTCCGCTGGGGGCACAGCCCGCCTCACGGCTGATCCCGGCCGCGCGGGATCCAGACGTCCCACTCCGCAGCCGGCAGACGCAGGTGCAGCACAGCCGCCGCGCGCCCCCTCGCCCAGATCCGCTCCTCCTCGGCCGGAGACGGCTCCCCGGTGCCGCACCCGGGGCTCAGGAGGCTCGAGAACTCGGTACAGCTCACCTGGGCGCCCGCCGGCCTCCGGGACTTGGGCGCTTCAGCGCCGCCTCAACCTGCTGTCCCAGCGCCGCGGCGCGCCCAACCTCACCGTCTCATTGGCTCGCGGCCCGCGCGCCCCGCCCCCCGGCACCCCATTAGAGCGGAGGCGTGTGCCTCCCGCCCCCTGCCCACTCCCATTGGCGGCCTTCCTCCCACCACGCCCCATTGGCTCGTTAACTCCGTCCCGCCCCGGAGGCATCCAGGTGTGGGCGGGGCCCGGAGTGGGTAGGGGCAGCGCCTGGGCCCCGGGCCTGGTCCCCGCTGGTGCTCGACGCCGAAGCTCGTCTGCAGCTGCGCTCGCTCGGGGCTGGTTGGCCCAGGTGAGGTGTGTTTCCAGCTGCGGAGCGGACTTCCTCAACAGACTGGCAGTGTGACTGACTGGTCTCCGCCCACCGAGAGGGCTCCTGACTGGAACCCTGCAACTCTGACATGCACCCGGGCGCAACATTCGCCCTCCCTTCAGCTGCCTCGTCGGCTAAGCCCCTTCTGCCCTGCTCCCTTAAATCTGTACTCGAGAACATTGGGAAGAGAGGCCGTGAACGTCTCTCGCCCGCTATCCGTGAGAGGTGGAGTTGAGGGGCCGGCTGACCTGGTGGGCGCTGCAGCCCTGGTGGGGGAGGGGACCGTCCCTGAGTCTGCCTGGGACAAAGACCCTAGGGGCTTTGTCTGAAGCGCCATCCTCTCCCCTCCCCCAATGGGCCCAGTGCCCTCCAGAGCAGCCCTTCCCTCCCTAAAGCGGGTCCCTGCTTTCATATCTTGCCTGTGTCTCGGTAGGCTAAATCAAGCCAGGCCAGCCCCATGTGCTCTGTCCCAATCACAGAGAGCTGTGGGAGGGGGTTCCCATGCCCTTGTGCCATAAAGCAGTAAATGTTGGAAGTACGAGGCTGTGGAAGAGACAAGGTAGAAGGAGCCTGCCTCTCCTGGGGGCTCACTTCTGAAGCAGAAGCAATGTCCCCCAGGGTTCACTAGTGGAGCCACCATTGGGAGCCCAGAGTCTTGGAGATAGGCACAGCAAGATAAGGGTTCCGAGAGTTAGGTTAGGCTGTCAGACACAGGCTTGTTTAGTGGCTAGAGTTAGCACAAGCCACTCCAGTCTCTTATCACTCTCAACTGCTCCATTAATCAGCGCAGATCCCTAGGACCGTTTACATAGTTAAGGCACACACACATGCATACTGAATTCACTCACAGGACACCATTCCCCAGGACCTGCCTATCACCACTGGCTAGGGCCGGGTTCCAGGGGTCTGATTAGTTCGGTGGACCTCCTCAGCTTAGCTGGGAGGTCTAGCCAACATATCTGAACCACACTGGCACAGAATGCACTCATGGCCCTGGGCATCGTCTCCCTGGAGGCTCCTAGTAACAGACACCCTCCCCCCAGGTGCAGAAATCCATGGCAACAGTATAGAACACTTTCCTCCCTAGACCTTCTGTGGGTTTAGGCCTCAGGTGAGTGTGCGGGAGAGTTCCTGCGTTGGACGGACATGAACAAGGGTAACACGCTTGTTACCCTTGATGAGAGGTTTAGAACCTCTCATCTTAGCTCTAGGCTGGGGTCTAGGGGACAAAGAGGAGACAGCAGGGAAGATATGTACACACTGGGGACATGCTTCCTGGGAGGTGACTGTCCTAGCCTGAAATATACTCTCATATGACCAGCAGTCCTAATGTCTTGTTGGGTGGACACATGTGTATTCCTCAGAGGGAATTGGCAAGCACTTGTCTGGACTTCACTGACACACAAAGAGAGTCCCATGTGGTGGTTCCCATACCTGGGACACAGCAGACCCCATCCTGCCTCCTTCCATCCCAGCTCCTGACCAACATCGAGCATGGCCCCTAAGTCTTGCCAGGAGTCTGAAGATGAGCAGGTGTCCCCAGCTCCAGCAGGTGTAAAGCCAGACAGCAGTGACTTAGAGTCTGCAGCCGGTACACCTATGGACACAGAGGCTCCTTCGTGTTCCCGGAGCAGTAAGCCCTACTGCGCACCTACCCCAGTGGGCTGCTCTATCAAGCAGCAGTAAGGAGGCAGGGGATGGGGCAGCCTCCTGGGTTGGGCCAGCCAAAGAGCCAGGCCTGATCAAACCACAAGGGGCTGGAATTGCAGGTTAGCCCCTGAAACCATGGACCCACGTACCCTGAGGCTGTTATGGGAACAGAGAGAACTAGAGATCCAAGCACTTCGGTGGGCTGTCCAGAATGGCCAGAATGCCCGATACTACCACATCCTGCAGGAGGTGGCAGGGATTCCCCCTGAGCGGTCAGTAGTGAAACCCTCAGCCTAACCCAGGCCCTATCCTGTCGTAGCTCCAAGTTTCTGTGTGACGCCAATCTCAAGCACTGAGCCCTATACCTGCCTGCTTCAGATTTTAGTCTTTGTGTGACTTGACACTCCACCATACTTTTTGAATAAGTTCCTGTGAGGAAAATGGAACCCTACCCCTGAGCATGTAGACCTCTGCCCAGACCTGCTAGGGTTTACTCTGCCCTGGCCTGCTATCATGTGTGCCTTCAGGGTTTGGTGGCTGTGGGGTGTCCTTTATTGCTGACCTACTCTCAGGAATCCTGGCCTGCCCCAGAAGCGCTGAGATTGCTCCTCCTACCAGGAACTCCAAAAGTCAAGACAGATTCCTGCAGAACCAGGTCCAGAAGCTTACGCTGGAGCTGAAAACACAGAAAGAAGAAGCCCAGCTGGTGAGGGGGTAGGGTCAGGGAAGGGAGCAATGCCTTGGCAGGCAGTAGCTACCCACCTGAAGTTGGCTGGAAAGGTGGGGTTGCTGGAGGCCTCTCTCACTAGCACTAGCAGGCACTCTCAATCAGGAGAAAGAACGCTTGGAGGAGAAACTGCGGCAGAACCGCCGTACAATGCAGCAGATGGAGGCTGAGCTGCAGACCTTCCAGAAGTCGTGCCTTCTACAGCTGGCTCGTTCCTCTTGGGTAGGACGCGTGATTCGGTCTCAGACTGGCAGTGTGGAGGTGAGTTTGTGCCCCTCCCTGGCTCAATACCTGTCAGGCAGCCCCCCTCCAAAAAACAAAACAAAACAAAAAAACAAATCCTTTAAAAAAAAAAAAAAACAAATCCTTGGGCAGCCAGCATGCTTCTTTAGGTCCTGGCCTGTTTGAGAAACCTTGTCTCCCTTGGGCTGTTTCCATAAGGAGGATTCATATGACCAGCAGCCTCCTCATCTAGTATATGCCAAGTACTGTTAAGGTCAAAAGTGAGAGAACCCGTGGGGGAAGGGTGTCCTTCCTCAAGCTCCCTGTCAGCTTCTCTATGGTTCTTTCTTGTAGGTGGTCACTGCAGAGGTCCTAAGGGACCCTACTGACTCTACTGAGTATGTTGAGGGTCCCACTTCTAGGGAGGTAAGCAAGATTTGCCATAGGAGGCATTCCATGTATATGACAAGGCTCCTGAAGCCCTGAAAGGTCGGGGAGCTGCATAGTTCTTATTTCCTGCCAGGAATTCCGGTTGGAGGATGTAGATTGGAACAGCATTGCCCGCCGATATCCCAACCTCTTCTCCAACATGAGTTTCTATACAGATGAAAAGTAACTGCATTGGACAGGGAGTCCCCAGGGATCAGGGGAAGGGAGGACTTGGCTTGACAGAGGTGGACCAGTTCCCATTGTATCCTTAAGTGTTCCCAGACAAGTCATGTAACCCCTTCAAAGCCTCAGCTCTGATATGTAATATGTGGAATGGGTTCAAGACAAGGGGAGGAGCTCCAAGGTCATCATTAACTTTATTAATTTACCACAAGCTGGGTCTGACTCGAGTTCATGGAGCACAAACCAGGGTGCCCATTGCCTTGGGTAGGCTGGCGGGGGGGGGGGGGGCATGGGTCCTGGGTTTAAGAGCCAAAGCAGTCAGTAAATGTATCATGGTTCCAGGCTGTCTCAGCCCCACCAGTCCTCTGAAATGGATACCTGGGACTCCGAGTGTACCCTCAAGCATGTGGAGAAGCCTACCAAGATCCTGGGGTGGGGCGCCTTGCCTTTGGCAAACACCAGCAGCTCAGAGGGTGCCAACTCTGACTCCAGCAGCTGCCAGATAGCTCTGCATTCTGGAGCAAAGAAGGTGACAGGCCACCCACCCCAGGGAACAGACTTAGCTTCTGAGCAGACGCAGGAATGCACTAGGAGCTTCAGCAGACACACAGAAGGTAGAGTTGGCTGCCTCTCCCTTTCACCCTTTAGCAACTTATAGCCTCTGCCCAAAGTCCTCTCAGGTCCTTCAGCCCCCAAGGTCCAGTTGCTTCTGCCCAGATCTGAACCCGACTGAGGTTTCCCTGTTACGCAGACCCCTGGTCTTGCCTCCTGGGGAACCTCCCCACTGGACTCTCTGTGTTCTCCTTCCTCTAAAGGACTTCTTTTTCCAGATCTTCATAAAAGCTGCTCACCCTTGCTTAGCAAGACTGTTCTGGAGCCCTGTGCAGACCTTCACCATCAACACACAAGGTCCCAGTTGAAGTGAGGGGTTGCCCAACCATGAGCACACCAGGAAAAGCAGGGAGGCTGCATGATGGGTAGGCTTCGTGGGTGGATGGGGCCCCTATTCCCTGCTCAGCATCCCTTTCTGGCTCCAGCCCACTTGGTTGCTGCTTGAAGATCGCTGCGGTCAGCCACCGAGAGAAGTTCATCCGTATCCTCAATCAGTCTCAGGCAGAGACTGTGGACCTGGGCGGCTTTGTAGTGCAGCAGCTTGTGAGGGACTACCCTGTGTGCATGTACCGCTTCCCACCTGGTATTCTGCTAGCCCCACAGCACCACATCACAGTAAGCCCTGCTGCCAGCCAATACTGCCTTGCCCCGGTCTACACTGTTCCTCAGTTAGCACCCAGCCTTTTCCTAGGTGTGGGGCGAAGGAACCAGCAGGACCAAGAAACAGCTGCCAGTGTCCGCGGGCCAGGAACCCTTCCACTTCCAATCCAGCCTAGGTTGTGTGACAGTGCTAGTCAACCCCCACGGCCAGGTCAGTGCTGGTCCCAGCCTAGGAGGAGCCCAGGGGCCGGCCTCACAGGGTTAGAGTAAGTAACACGATGGCCCTACAGGTCCTCAGTGAGCATCAAGCTGCACCCTGCGTGACCTTGGGCTCGAAGATGTTCACCGACAACACTGACTGGTCCATTGACCGCTTCCCTCTCTCAGAGTCTGAGCCCAAGGCTGACTCTGGTGAAGAGCAGTGTCGTCCTTCATCGCCACACAAGGGCAGGGTGCGGGACTCTGGGGCCAGGCGTAAGAAGCCCAGGTAGGTGCAAACCCCTTATTCTGCCTCGCAAAACCTGCCCCTATTTCCTTAGGTGTCGCCTTGGACAGGACTACTACCCTGGCCCATACTATCTTGCATTACACTTGCCCTGAATTGACTAGGATACTTCTCAGGCCCCTCCCACATCTCCAGGCCAGGTGTTCACCAGCAAAGGCACTTCCGCACTGGCACTAGCGGACTCAGGACTTCGGGATCACTTCGCCCCACCGAGACCCGGGATATCTTGCCACTCCTGAGCACCCGCAAGCTTCTTCACCCCGGGGAAGTTCCCGCACAGCAGGAAGGCGTGAAGGCTGAGACTGCGGAGCTCCTGCCTGCAATCCCAGAGTGTTCCTCGAGAGTGTGCCTCCAAGACTCGCTGTGTCAGCAGGAGCGCAAGGTCCAGGTGAGTGTGATGCTTTGGCCCCAGGTTCTCTGCTCTGCCAGTCCGTGCAGCTCTTAGGCCCCAGTGTTTTCTGCAGGTATGCCGGAAAAGCGTGGACCTAAGTTGCCCCATGGTGGCCCTGTCAGTACAGAGCACAGCCGAGAGCAGATATGGGTTCCGCTTCCTCTGCTACCCTCCCATCACTGAGGACTTGTGCCGGCGGTTGTAGAGCAGCCAGGCCATGCAGGCAGTGCCAGCTGCATAATTTATTGAACCAACCGTTGCTTACAAAGTAAAGCACATTTCTGCACACCTGAGAGTCGAAAATGATTCACTTGGCTTTTACAGAGAGTATTTGGTGTCTCAAGAGAAAGGACCAGTCGCACATAGGGAAACCTGCAAATCCACCCAGAATGACTACGCCCTTTTGTGGACTAGGACACGCAGGCTTAGAACTTGGGCCACATAGGTGACCCAGGGTCCTGGGGCATCTAAAGAGCTCAGTTCCAGCTCCAGCCATTCAGCCTTGGCCCCATCCAGGCCAAGAGATCTCAACAAGGGAGGATTACATTAAGGGAGAGAGTGGGCTGGAGGGATAGGGTTCAGGTGATGGAGGCAGTGGAGGCCTGGAGGGCAAGCTGCTGGACCTAGTGCTGGCTTTGGGTCTGGGCATCCCTGGACTCTGTGGTCCAGTGCTCTCAGGGCAGTCACTGCAGCCAACCTCTCACCCAGGCCAGACCCCTCACCCAGGCTAGATCCCAAGCTACCTAGGACTCTAAGCCTACGCCCTCTGAAGGGCAGGTCTGCAGATCTCACCGAGGAGCTGCTGCCTGACTCAGGTGGCTTTGGGTACTTTGGGGGAGAAGGGATCAGGTGAAAGCCTGGTGTCCTGGAAAGTTCTAGAAAACAAGGAAGAAAACAGCATGTCAGAGAGGACCTGTCAGACAAGGTGGGGGAGAGTTAGCTGCAGCCTGGAGATGATGGCAGGCTAGGGGCAGTGCAACCCCAAGAGGAGAAGGTTTCAGTGTCCTTTTCTGTTTCACTGTGGAGCCTACAGATGGAAGCATCCCTGTTTCTCTAAGCCACATCTCTTTGCTCTGCTTCATCTGCATTCCAGAGAAAATACAGCTTCAGCCCTGTGGCTACCTCTAGACCAGTGGTTCTCAACCTGAGGGTCCCCATCCCCACAGGGGTTACATATAAGGCATCCTGCATATCAGATATTTACATTATGATTCCTAACAGTAGCAAAATTACAGTTATGAAGTAGCAACAAAGATAATTTATGGTTGGGGTCACCACAACATGAGGAACCATATTAAAGGGTTGCAGCATTGGGAAGGTTGAGAACCACTGCTCTAAGGCAAAGTGATTGGACTCTGGCCCTGGGTCATCTGACCTCCATTCTTGAGTGTGTGTTCATCCCTGAGGCCCTGGTGGCTTCAGGCTAGTTCTTAAGCTTCTGTAATAGTATAAGGTAGATGGCTAGGGTCACCAGTGCCTTCTAGGCCTGACATCTGTAGCAAGAGGGCTAAACACCATTTCAGTCAACCCTTCTGCTGGTCACCTTTCTACTGCCCTTTAACCTGTGCAATTCTTGTCCACTGGGGGGCCAGCTGTTGATCCTGCTTCACTCTCAGGGCCCTCTTCCCACCCACTGCCTCAAGTACCAGCCAGTCTACAGAGAGGCAAAAGTGTGGTTGTGTGGTCCTTCAGAGATGGCCGCTGACCACCTTTATACCCTCAATGTCTGTCCATGCCCACAGTGTGCCTTTTTAAGGCGCTGCTGGGTAAGGGTCTTTCCAATGAAGCAACAGTCACTCTGGCTCCCTTGGAAAGGGTTTGCCTGGCTTAATTCTGCACCCCTATGCCAGCACAGGTCAGTCCTGCCTGGGTTGAAGCCACTGAAAGTTTCCAACCCTCTCTGCCTTGCTCTCCTAGTGGTTTTGTTCATCACTTTCCCACCCCTGGATTCCTGTCAGTTTCTCCTGAGAATTGGTGTCTGCTTCTGGATACCCTTGGCGACCAGAGGCTCCCAACAGATGCTTGCCTCTGGACTTGCCCTGCAGCCTTCTTTTGTGGAATGCTTTCCTCTCTCCTTTAGCCCAGGTGCCCTCAAGGTGTCATGGTATGGAGGAGGAGCTGGGATTGACCTTCTCTAGGTTGTGAAACCTACCCACCCCCACTCCACCAAGAAGAGGACTGTCTGCCCTCCCAGAACCTGGCAAAGGAAGGGGCTGACTATATTATCCTAGTCTGAGGTGGGGACAGCCGTTCCCAGATGGGGGGTCAGGTTACTCTCAGGCACTGAGGTAGTACCTGAGGCCAGGCGTGGAGGGGTTAGGGAAATCTTGGGTCCAGTCTGGTCTTCCTGTTCTTCAGGAGCCTTCTGTGGGTCCTGAGCTGGAGCTGGAGCAAGCCTTTCCTGCTGGAACTCCACCTGCCTGTGGAGGAGAGTACTGAGGTGGGAGAAGGCAGAGCTGCAACCGTGTCTGTCTCAGACCCAGTGACAAATGGCCATCACACTGGGATGGATCTCTAGCCTTTGGCCCCTTTGACCACCATGGGAGACCAATGGCTGCTCAGCAAAGGAAACTTCCAGCCCAGATCCCTCCCCCCTCAAGAGAGGGCAAAAGGTGGTAGGGTTGGCAGGGTAAGGGACACCAACCGCAGGCCAGGCTCCCTCCAGGCCCGGAGCCCAATCATGGCCAGGTCACAGCTTTCTGTAGGGTCAGGCCTTGGGGTAGAGGGGTGGGTGGCCAGATCTGGCCTATGTGAGGGCAGCTGCTCCAGGGGTGCCCATTCCTAGGGAGGGAAAAGGCTGCTGTGGGGACCCTGACCCCGGAGTGGGAGGGCCAGAGCATGGACATGCCAGTAGTCCTGAACACTGATGTATGACGGGGGAGCTCTGGGTAATGGTCTACCATGGGGTGAGGGCAATAGGTGATGGTCTACTTTGGGAAGGAGGGCTGTAGTCATATGTGGGGAAGGCATACCTGGTACTGGTGTCTACGCTCCCTCAGGCCTTTGGTGGGGTTCCCACAGAGAACTTGACAAGCACCTGAAGAAGAGGATGTGGCTATGCCTGGTTTGGGGTCAAGGTACTTGCCATGTCAGCTCTGGGCCAAATAGGTTTAGTTACCATGGGTGAGGCTGCTGGAATGGTCTTCTGTGGCTGGATTCTCAGAAAGCAGACCTTCAGGCAAGGGGCCCTCAGGGACCAGCAAAGACAGAGCCCATGGTTGGGTCTCAGGCACAGGCAAGATTGGGTCAAGTTTCCGTATAGTGGTTCCATGGGAACAATCTGTCCAGGGTCAGATCCAGAGATCACTGGGCTCATTATAGACAGCATGTTTCAAACTCAGACCACAGAACACAGCCCTGTCACTCAAGAAGCTGTGTGACCTAGGGACTGGCCTTTTCCTTCCTGAAAGACCCTCAGGCTTATACCCTCCTCTTCTTCCACATAGGAAAGGGGAAGCCAGCTGGTGCTGTAATGGGAGTATCCTGACCTGGGTTCAGTCTGCGTGGTTCTGCAGACGAGGAGCTAAGGCTGGGAAAGGGAACAAAATACAGCCACCCATCTCTGCGAGGCCTGGGGAACTAGTGGAGGTCTTCTGCTCTGGGGTTGAGCGAAGCCTGTCCTCTTAGGGGACCGGTAGAAGTCTGTCTTCCTGGAGGGCTAGAGGAGGTCTCCTCTAGAGTCGGAGACTGGGGCATACTATCGAGGTCCATAGTAAGTGTTTGGCATACCCAGCCGAGGGAGGAGAATGTCAAGCACGCTGCCTTCCTTGATGGCCTCCTTCACCATCAGCCAGTCCTGATTCAGCTTCTGGGAAGCAGGCAGGTTGGTGCATGTGGTGGGTATCTCATCTAGGATGTGGAGCTGGGGGATAAGCTTCTTTACCTCTGCCCTATAATTGTAGTCCTGGGGTGCCTAAAGGGTAGAGGGAGGGGGACAGCAGACCTGGGTCTGGTGGGCCCTGCAGGCCAGCTGGTTGCTGGGGCTCCCTCTTCCAGACTGCTATGGTGCAGGACAGAGGAGACAGGGTGGTGATACTGCCTCATCCTACTGGAGCCTATGGGTACCTTCACCCTCCAAGCCCATATCCAGGGTTCAGGGATGCCCTCTAATATGTGGAACTGATTATGGGTCAATATCGAGCAGCAGTTATTGAGGTGGATAGTGCGCTTGGAGCATGCGTGGCCTTTGTGGGGGTGCAAGTAGATTTACCTACTGCAACAGAGCTTGCATATGCCTGATGCCAAACAGTTAGGCTGTTTAGGCCTCCAATGACAGAAGGGATAGCTCTTAAGGAGAACAAGCTAAAAGGTACATGTGGGCCCCAAGGTTCCCATTCTGGGTAGGGGTATCCCATCCCAAATATATGTTGACTGGGTGTTCAGCACCCATACCTTGTTGGAAGGGCCAGGGTCTGGCTTCAAGCACACCAGATTCCCCTCCAGTGTGAGCGTGGCCAGCCGTGGACACAGCTGCAGGTACCGCATCTGCCCCAGGTCTTCCACATTGTTGCCCTCAAGGTCCAGCACCTCCAGTTGCTCGAGCAGGCACAGTGGGCTCAGGTCTGAGATGTTGTTGTAGGAGACATAAAGTTCCTGAGGACCACATGGGGGAATCTTAGCTGGGGTCTGACTTGATCTCTGTTCCTTGTCCCCAAGTGCTACAGACTTACCTTCAGTGCCAAGAAGGAGCCAATGCCATCCAAGTCAGTCAGGCCACAGCGAGCCAGCCACAGCACCTGCAGGTGGCCCAGAGAAGTGCCCAGGTCTCTGCAGAAGGCAGGCAGAGTGGTGTGATGGTTAATCTTCAGGGTCAACTTGACTGGATTTAGAATCACTTAGGAGACACATTTGGAGCATGTGTCTGTGAAGGCATTTCCAGAAGGGTTTAACTGAGGAGGAAAGACCCACCCTGAATGTGGGGGGCATCTCCTCATGGGCAGGGATCCTGAAGAAAAAATAGGGAAAAGGAGAAAGCCAGCTGATTGCTGGCACTCCCTTTTCTCTGTTTTCTAATCTGCTCAGATGTGAGCAAGCTTCCACGTCCACAGATATGAGCTGCTCCTGCTGTCACGTCTTCCCTGCCATGATGCTATAATCCATAAGCCATAAGCCAAAGAAACCTCTCTCCCATTAAGTTGTTTCTTGTCAGGTATTTAGCCATAGAAGCAGCAATAAGTAACTACTATGAGTGATCGGTGCTGTCTTGGGGTTGAGGGTTCTGTCTTTAGCCAACAAAAACCAATGCCAAACTACCACCCACTTAGGCTGCCCTCAGGTGCAGGGATGGTTGTGCCTTTGCTTGTGATAGCTTCCAGCTGATGTGCTCCAGAGATTCCTATTCTTCTCCCTGCTTTAGCATCCCAGGGAAGGTTAAAGTGTGTCCCTGGAGAGCCCATGTTTGTGGGCATAGAGGTCCCTGGCATGTGGAGGCCCCTTCTCAAACACTTGTTCAGCACCCACACCTTGTTGGAAGGGCGAGGGGCCAGCCTGAGGCATACCAGATTGACCATGAGGAGCTGCCTTCAACCTGATGCCTTGACGCAGCCCTATGGGCGACTTGTACCTGCTACTTGTTGCTGTCCATCCCTGTCTGGCTTTTTGTACCCATGGGGCCTATTTTCCCTGCAGTGTACACAGATAGTGTGTTTGAGGACCTGTCCTGCTGTGATGCTCTTCTTGTATCACTGAACTGCTCTTTGCCTCATAGTACAATTGCCACCTGACCTCAGGCTTCATCAACTGCCGCTATTTTTCCATGGCCCTAAGTCTTTTTGGTAAGGACTCATCTACCATGTTGTCTGCCTGGGGCTTGTTTACTGCTGTTGCTCTAGGCTATATATTTTCTTTAGTCTTTGTCCTTCAGTTGCAAAGATTCATTCAACATTTACCCTATCAGTTGCCTTAAATCACCATGCTTTCTTTTTTAAATTCGTGTGTGCCTGCGTGTGTGTGTGTGTGTGTGTGTGTGTGTGTGTGTGTGTGTGTGTGTGTGAATATATAGCACATTTGTGCAGGTGCTCATGGAGGCCGGAAGACAATATCAGATCCCTTGGGGTTAGAGTAACAGATGGTGACAAGTCACCTGACATGGGTATTGGGAACTGAATCTAGGTCCTCTGAAGAGCAGGTCATCTTTCCAGCCCTCCAGCCCGCCTGAGTGTTTGAGATGATCTAACACTGTAGTCTAGGCTGACCTGGAACTTGAGGCAGTTATCCTGTTTCAGCCTCTCAATACCGGTGTGTACCACCATACTACTAGCAATCTCTCTTTCTCTCTCTCTCTCTCTCTCTGGAGACAACTTGTTAGAACTGGTTCTGTCCTTCGTGATCCTATTAAAACAAAGTTTACTTATTTACGTGTATGTGTATCAGAGTGTATGCCATGTGTGTGAAGGTATCTTGGAAGGCCAGAGAGGCTTAGACCTCTACTCTGGAGCTGGAGTTAGAGATGGTTGTGAACCCCCTGACTTGAGTGCTGGGATCCAAATTCAGGTTCTTTGGGAGAGCATCAAGTGCTCTTCACTTCTCTCTCTCTCTCTCTCTCTCTCTCTCTCTCTGTCTCTGTCTCTCTCTCTCTCTGTCTCTCTCTCTGTGTGTGTCTCTCTCTCTGTCTGTCTCTCTCTCTGTCTCTCTCTGTCTCTGTCTCTCTCTCTCTCTCAAACTGCCATGGGGAGTTAGTTTTAGTTTTCATCATTGCTGTCTGTGGTAGGTCACATTGGTTTTCTGAGGGGTTGCCTTCACTTTGTCTTGTCCCTGAAGCGTTTTTTGTTGTTTTGGCCTATTCCTTTTCAGAGCTTGCCCACTTCTTTCTTCTTGCAACCTATAGCTCAGAAGAGTTAACATGACTGGACTGAGCTTCAAGGGAGTCAGGCAACTTCCATGTCTTTTGGTGGACCATATATCCAGCTGAATATAGATTCTTCTTGTTGTAGAGGAATAAGTATTAGGAAATAATTAGAGTTTGCCATACTTCGTAATAATAGGAAAAATGCAAAAAGCAAAGCATATACCATTCGTAGAGTCTTACAACAGACACAAAGAAATGTCTACAGTTTTAAATGAACTTATCAAAAAGTTAGACTAGCCTGGTGTCTTAGTTAGGGTTTCTATTGCTGTAAAGGCACACTATGGCCATGGCAACTCTTATGAAGAAAAACATTTAATTGGGGTGGTTCACTTATAGTTCAGAGGTTCAGTCCATTATCATCATGGTGGGGAGCATGGTAGCAAGCAGGCAGACATGGTGATGTCTTGATAGTTGACCAGAAGCAGCAGGAAGTGGACTGAGTGTAACACTGAGCATAGCTTAAGCAACAAGCCATACCTATTCCAATAAAATCACACCTCCTAATAGTGCCACTCCCTGTAGGCTTATGGGGGCCAATTACATTCAAACTACCATATCTGGTGTGGTGTCATACCTGTATTGAAGTTCAGGAAGCTGAAGGAGACAACATCACGACCTCAGCTCAAGGCTAGCTTTCGTGAGATCCGCGTCATTTAAAACAAAATGAGCTGGGTGTGGTGGATTATACTTTTAATCCCAACACTGAGGAGCCAGATACAGGTGGATCTCTGGGTTCAAGGATAGCCTGATCTATAAATTGAGGTACAGGATAGCCAGGGCTACACAGAGAAACCCTGTCTCAAAAAGCTCTGCCCCCCTCCCCAAAATAAAACCAAGTCAAGCACTGTGGCTCACACCTGTATTCTCAGCACTTGAGAAGCAGAAGCAAAGACAGGAAGACGAAGAACTCAAGACCACAGACTGGAGAGAAAGCTCAGTGTAAGAGCACTGGCTGCTCTTCCAGTGGATGGCAGTTCAATTCCCAACATCTACATGGCAACTCCTGACCATCTAAAACCCCAGCCCCAGGGGATGTGATGCCTTCTTTTGGCCTCTGAGGGAAGCAGGCATGCACATGGTACACTGACATACATGCAGGCAAAATACCTACAAACATAAACAAACAAACAATACAATAATAGAAAAGGAATTCTAGGCCAGGCTTGGTTATAGCAAGTTTTAGGTCAGCGTGGGTTACTCGAGACTGTCTGGAAAAAGAAAAAAGCTGGACAATTAGAACAACTGTGACAAGCACTTAGCTCAAGGAGAAGGAACAGTAACGGAAGCCAAGGAGGAAGAGTGAGGTCAAGATAAGGATGAATCTGCTACAATTAGAGAAGGATAACAACCCAGAGTTGATTTCTAACTGGCAAGACTGATGAAGAGACAGACAGATGATAGATGGACAGACAGACAGACAGATTGAAATTATAATGCATCTGAAAAGACAATCAAGGTGACCATAGCAGCAATGTAAGATGATAAAAAACCAGTATGAAGAAAGCATGCATTAACAGCTTTAGGTCTTGACAAGGTCGGTACTTACAGAACAGAAAGCTTGGCTCAAGGACTGGGAGGTAGCAAAGTGGGTAAAGTGCTTGCTCTGCAAGAGTGAGGAACTGAGTCTGAATCCCCTGCAATCACTTAAGCTAGGTGTAGCAGCCTGAACTCATAGTCTAAGCACTGGGAGGAAGCAGGCAGGGGTTCACTGGCCAGCTTTCCTAGTTGAAACAGCAAGTGCTGGATTTAATAACAGACCCATTCTCAAAAAATAATGTGGATAGTGATATATGAGGACATCTAGTGCTGACTCTGGCCTCCACATGTGTGTACATGGGCAAGAGCACCTACGTATGTATGTGCACATACACAGACACTCCAGACACACCATACTACCATCACCACCACCACCACCGACAACAACAAAAACCTGATTTGAAAGTAGGACTCTCTTAGTTTGAGCCAAGTTTTAAAGTATGTTATAAAACTGGTGGTGGCAGTGGTGGCACAAGCCTTTAATTGCAGCACTTGTGAGGCAGAGGCAAGAGGATCACCATGAGTCTAAGTATAGCCTAGGTTACACAGAATTCTAGGTTAGCCTGAAGTAGCACATGCCTATGGTCCCAACATCTGGGAGGTTTAGGCAGGTGCAGGAGGATCAAAGTTGGAGGACAGGGCTCGAGAGAACACTCAGAGGTTAAGAGCACTGGCTGTTCTTCCAGAGGACCTGGGTTCCAGCACCCACATGGCAGCTCACAACTGTCTGTGACTCTAGTTCCAGGGGATGCAAAGACCTTTTTCTGCCCCTACTCAGGCACCAGGCATATACCTGGTACACAGACATACATACAGGCAAAATACCCATCCACATAAATAATAATGAAAAAATAAAAATATGATCCAGATGGGGTGGTGGTGGCACATACCTTTAAATCCCAGCACTTGGGAGGCAGAGGTAGGCAGATTTCTGAGTTCAAGGCCAGCCTAGTCTACAGAGCAAGTTCCAGGTACTACACGGAGAAACCCTGTCTCAGAATAAAAACAAAACAAAACAAAGCAAAATAAACCAACAAAGAACAATTCAGTAGTGTTGACATTGGGATGCAAAGAGGATCATTAAAACTCATTAAGGGGTCAGTTGTGGGGCTGTAGAGATGGCTGGCTCAGTGGCTAAGAGCATTGGCTATTCTTCCAGGGGACTCGAATTCAATTCCCAGCACCCACATGACAGCTCACAACTGTCTGTAACTCCAGTTCCAGGGGTTCCAACATTCTCATACAGACACACATGCAGGCAAAACACTAGTACACATAAAATTTTAAAAAGGGGGTGGTTAGGTGTGGTGATGCACGTTTTTAGTTCTAGCACTTGGGAGGCAGAGGCTGGCAGATCTCTGTGAGTTCAAGGCCAGCCTGGTCT